ACACACACACACACACACACACACACACTCTCTCTCTCTCTCTCTCTCTCTCTCTCTCTCTCTCTCTCTCTCTGCGGATGTAATCACTTGGGTCGGTCTGCTCAGTGTCAGTTCCCAGACTGGTGAGGAAACGTGGCTTTTAGCTGCCTCTGCTTTTAAAGCCTGTGTCTGTCTGTATTTCTGTCTCACTTAGTAGACATAACTTTGCAAAAAATCCTCACAAATCACAGCTTGAGGATACATATGCTTAGGATAAAAACAACATAAACACATAGTACGTGTTCTATGCATGTCCTAAAATGTTCAGTGTGTGCCTCTTTTTATGCGTCATAGCCTCGGATGATGACTGCATTCTTCATTAATCCCATAATGACTCAAAGGCTGCACAGAGCAGTGTTGTGAACCTTAATAAGATGTTTTTGTATGTTCTCTCACCTTCAGCATAATTACGGCGTACCAGTTCCTGCATGCCGAGCGAACACGGACAGCATGTGCATGTGTCATATCCCATTAAAGTCCCGAAGTGTTGCATCATTTAGGATCCTTTCTGTTTAAAATATCCCAAGCGAAAAAATGAAATGTCAAGCTTGAGCTAAAACATGCTCATGCTCTCATCAAGGGGATTTTTTTTACATCTCCAAATCTTGAAAGCAAGGAAAATTAAGAGATGATTTGTCTCAGCCAATATCAAAAGGCCATTCAGTGTCGTAGCTATTACCCATAAGCCCTCTATTGTGGACGAAGACGCTCCCTGTCACAAGACTCCAGTCCACTGGCACCATCCTCAGAACCACCATCCTGCTACCAAGCCATTAATGAATGCATCAGATTCATAGATGTAACATAAAACGCCATGACATACCAACTCGTGGCATGTTGGAGAGATTCTCTGAATGTGTGTGTGTGTGTGTGTGTGTGTGTGTGCTCTGATAAAAAGTGAGTTGCAGTATACTTTCACAAAACTACAGGAAGTCTTGTTGACAAAACAACTCAACATTTCTCTGCCTTTGGCGATAAAACTGTATATATCAGACCTACAACTAACACTACAGCATCCAACAAGTGCAAAATATATTCTGCTGTTGCCACTGCTATTGTTTAATTCATTTAAAACTACACGGGGTCATGTAAGGTGTAAAAACAGGAATGCAGATCCGCCGTCAATCGATCATCGGGGATCTACCTTTCCAGATCTTTGGAGAGGTCAGGACCATGATGCATTGCAAATTGTGAAGTTATGTAAGAGAACAGTTGGAGGCAAATGGTTCAGCGACTAGTAAGCTATCGCATACAAATAATCGAACTTTTGGAAACCTGTTAAGTTGAAAGAATAATGATTTTTTTTTACTTTTGCTCGTCCTCGTACTCCTAAGTTTACGTGTTTTTTTTGTTACAATACATTTCATTTTTTTTATTTACTTGTTGAATAATATACAAAAACATTCCTACAGATCTCCAATTTTGTGATATCTCTTAATTAGATTTTTATTTTTTGAAAGGAGAGAACAAACAACATTTTGGACAATGAGACATGCAGCCCAATCACCCTGGACAAATTCTCCTGCCTCCCCCCCTCATAAAGGTCCCTTTCTCTGCCCTCTGGAGTGACAAGGCCACTCCAGCATCTCTCTCCTCCATCAGCACTTGTTGGACTCCTTCAACCCATTCCTGAAAAAGAAAAGCCCCAGTCTTTCATTCGAACAAGTTTAGTTCTTCCTCCTCCCCCTCCTCCTCTGCTCCCCACTTCCCATACTCCATTTGGCAGTGACAATCCGGTCATTATACAATCTTCACCCCGTCTGCAACCCCCCCCACCTCACCCCACACTTCTGCGCTGCCCTCTCCTCTCACCCCTCCCCTTTCGCCCAGCCACTATGAGCTATATTACTTTGACCCCGGCCCATCAATCTGCTTCAATTGGATAATGATCTGTAATCACGTTCTTTCAGGGGAGTCTATAAAACGAGCCGGGGCCTCAGCACCCCCCCTGAGAGGGCTCCTTCTGTTCCCCAGCCCCCCCCACACATTTGATCCAAGCGCTTCTCCTTTCAGCTTTCAGGCCCCCACTAAATACCCTCGCACATGGGCAGCCGCTGCAGCCTTGTAAAGGGAGCGGAGGAGAGTGGGGGCTCCGCTGTTGATTTTTCATGGCTCCCCGCTCCAATGGAAAGGGGGCTAAGAGGGACAAGGTGGAGCCCAGCAGGAGGGAGCAGGGGGACACAGGAGGAGGAGAAGGAAGGAGAAGGGGTGTGCTAAGACCCCCCCGCCCCTCACATTAAAGCTGACCCTCCATTAGGTCGTTTTGTACGACAGGCTTGTAATCGATAGAGCCTTATAACTTAACAGGAGGAGCGGCAAGGGGTGGGGTAGGACGGCGTCGGGGTGAGTGTGGGGGCAGCGGGGGCGCGTCAAGGGTGTCAAGGAAAGAGTAAGAGGAGAGGGATAAAGAGAGAGATTAGGATAAGGTTGATGGACAGGGAGAAAGAGGCAATGAATGAATAAGTAAATGAATGGAAGGAGAATTAAGCCGTGAGTTTCACCTCTTCCCACCCTGTCTTAGGCTCGGCTAAATTAGGTCTCAAAACAAATATAATCCGAACATGGGAACAAAAATCTAAAATCATAATCCTGCTTGCAGATAAAAATCAAGAGTAAAAACGAATAACAATCCAGTACTGTGTTTCACTCTCAATTTCTCCGCCGTCTTTCCTGCTCGGTTTGTATGGAGAGGGAAATGACTTAATGTGTGTAACTGTATGAGATCTTAAGTGGTGTTATCACATGTGGAGATAAGATCTGAGAGGGGGGAGAGGCAGCACAAGGGGCCTGTTTTCACAGCATATTGCACATTTCCAAGTTAAAACTGACCCGGCGCGCCACCTCGGCTAACAGTTATCAATTGTTCATTGGGGCTTCCATTGTGACGGTCGGCGGGGCAAGCTGCGTCTCCCTTCGTGTAAAACACACGTGCATCACAGTTCAGGAGGCGAGTGGAGCAGCTTGACCGCAATTTAAAACACCATCACTTCAGTGGGGGCTTTTGTGTAATCTCTTCTGCGCTCTTGAATATACATAAAAAGGCTGGAGAGTTTTTAAGGGCCATACAATAAATTGATGAATGGTTTATTTTCTCTCTCAATCTCTCTCTGGCTCTATGAAGTGAGGGGCCCGTCTTGTATATCATTATTCCCCCCTCCACCCTTTCTCTAGCAAGTTTAGGGCTCTTACATGTGGAGCATATGCCTTTTGAAAGGGTGGCACCACGCAAGGCAGGCACAGATGGAGTCACCCTCCCTGTCAATGGGCGGACAATGGGAAATGGAAATGAAAGTTAAAGGGGTGCATCCATCCCCATTTAGCCCACACAAAAGGTGCTTGTAGGAGGCAGGGCATGAGGGACCGAGGGAGGGGAGGGGTGGAGGAACATGTCCCGGGCCAGTAGAGTCCATCCTCAGCTGGCCTCTCCATCACCGAGGTGATAGAGACGTGCTGCCACGGCGCTAGACACCCCAGCATCGTTACTTTTAAAGTCCCTGTCGCAGCGCCTGATGAACGGGGCCCGGTGATAATTGAATTCTTGTATTTGTTTTTAACGTCTGGCCACAAAGCGCAGTTTGTCACCTAAAATTGCGTCTAACACTTTACAGCATTAAATAAAAATGTAGCAAAGTGCGCCTCAGCTGGTCTTTCTCCATTTCCTGAAGGAGAGGGGAAATGCTGACACGGCGACTTGAGACTGAACACAAGTTGAATGCATATAAACCTTAACATTTACAGCAAATGGTTACTTTGGTGGATTTATAAGATACCTCAGGAGAAGGTGGAGCTGATTCATTGACCATTTTTATTCTGGGATTGTCATTGTCGCACTTATCAAATGACCCGTTTTGATACTAATAAATAATGATTTTCCTGCCTAACAAAAATGACTTTGTCATTGTTGTTGATGCTGTACTAAACTACTACAGTGTTGACACAGACGCACCCGTTTGTTTATCATACATGATATCCATGACGACCAATTAGTAAATAAGGCAGGGTTAATAGAGGAAGTAAAATAAAGCAGAGGAGGAAGTGGTGAGCCGTCCATCCTGTTGTTGTGGTGGATGCTTGCTTTGAACGCAGCTCTGATGGGACCTATAAAACAGTGTGTGTTGTTTTAAGAGACAGTGATTTCACTCTCATTAAAGATAACTACACTCTACTGTACGCAAGTGCACCACACCTCCGCTGTTAATGGTAAAGTTCTCCACATGGAGGCTCATTTTTCCATATAAGGAGTAAATAAACCTCACTAACGTTATTAAATGTTTTAATTAAAAATAAGTCAATATTCGTTATTTGTTGTTGATCAGAATTACACTATATGTAGACCATCATTCATAATGAGAATATTTCATTTATCCCTGGGGAAATGGGGTTTTCTGAAGGTTGCTCTATTTAATATAAAATACATAAATAAATAAAAATATATAGAATAGAATGTATCCAAAAATATGTCGTTAAAGTAAGTGCAATAAAGAGATACAATAAATAAATATATTTCTACAAGTAATTTGTCCAATAAAGAAATACAATAAAATCCAATATTTATAAAAACATTAGAAGTCAATTGTGCACTTTGTACTACAATATGAAACTATTATATAACAAAACATACAGTGGAGTATTATTATTAATAAGATATGAATGCTAGATGCACAGTTTAAAACATATTGTCTATGTATAAATTACTCAGTACAATGTTAATAGCAAATGGTTTACTGAATACTGCATGAAAAAAAAATACCAAAAATGACCTCATAGTCAATAATCAAGTTTTTCCACTGCATAATGAAATGTATCCGTATTTGAAGTGCTACAGTAAAACCCTTTGTTACCATCCTGTCAGCAAATATTTTTGGTTTAATGTTCCCCTCTTCCAATTGTGTGAAGGCAACTCTCCATGTGATGTGTCTAAATGACAATAATCCTTCATTTGATCTGTGTGTGTCTTGCAGGGCTGCTGACAGTGGGGTGTTGGCGTCTGGGAATCCTGAAAGATGGCAGGCCATAATGAACCTCGGCCCGACCTTTGACCTCCCACCCCCGACACCATCACCAGCTGAGGGCTTCCACAGAGGGCCTGCTTGTGTGGTAGGACACACACACACACACACACACACACACACACACACACACACACACACACACACACACACACACACACACACACACACACACACACACACACACACACACACACACACACACACACGCACACATTCACACTTCCCTCCCACGATCACTAACAAAGGCATTATAGATTTAATTATATATAATTACAAACACAATACTGTTGCAAGGGATGCCACTTTTCACTTTAATCACAAATTAACATCTCCTAACTGTCTTTGAGTGTCTCCAAATACTGAAACATTTGACTGCGGGTTTTATCTGTGTGCTGGTTTTAGAATGCAGAGTTCTTCCAGAGATGGTTCACCTCAGACAGCCTTCTGTACTGTGGCGTAGGTAGGGGCTCCACACAGCTGCTGAAGCGTAATACCCTCTGACATATCTGTGCTGTCAGTCTACCATATCTCCAATGCATGAATAACTCATGATTGCAAGTGTGGTATCCGCTGTCTATGCCTCAAATACGATATTTGTTTCCACGTTATGTCTCTCTTTTTTAAATCTCATTTGCAACTGGATATATTCATAATATAAACACAACTCTGGTCAAGTAATATTTCATTCTGCTATGAAAACAACTCCAAAAATGTACATGCCGAACGAGGAAGTTTTGGAATCATTTCCTGGTAAATACTATTCATTTATTTAAATTAAGTAAATATTTGTACATTGAAATTAAATGATAGCAAAAGCAAAGGGCTTTTGTGTATACAAGTCAATATTTCCATGCAGTTGGTAATTATTTATTTAGCAGTATTTTAGATGATTATGGCAATTTTGTGTAAATATTCCCAGAAATGTCACATATCTATCTACGAAATACATAGAATACATGCATACGATATTTCAGTTTTGATCTATATGAGCCTGCTACTGTAGCTGTCTTGCATCACCACAAGCCTGGACAACAAAAGGATGCAGTATTCCTCTCTCATTATTCTTCAGCTTTTCTCATACTGACCACATTCTCTCTGTTGGAAACATCTGCAGCTACACAGGGCTTATTTACAATGCACAATGTACAAATGAGGCCCCGTGTTCACCGTACAGCCAGCCCCCCCTTAACCTCACTCCAGCTGCCCTTGACTCTCCTACAGAATACGCACCCGATTCTAATAAGGCAGTTCTGTGAAGCAGACTGACCACGGCGTATCCAGAAAGACCTTATTATTGTATGTTGTGTTTACACGTGCATCTGTGTGAGTGCACTTGTGTCTTCCACCTCATTGATCCCCGCAGACATTTCCGGAGCACGAGTAAACATCCAGCGTAAGCCGCTAGACTTCACCCCGTATGGACAGCGTGAAGGATCAGCCTTGGCTGTTAAACGGTCAGCATGTGATTAGTTTAATAGCCTGACAATGATTGCTCCGGTGCCTGGATATAAATTACAAAACATAACGAGACTTTGGTGCTTATTGTAATGGGCCTCCTTAGTAAGAGCAACAGATGTAGCCACCAATACTGGACGCCAACGTTTTCACTTGCTTTTTGCATTCGTTATTGTCCAAAAATGTGATATTGCTCCTCAAATATTCAAATATGTTATTTTAGGGACACCATTTACACATCCAAAAAGGACTATCTTCTTTTTTGTGTGTGTATCTTCCTTAGAATCAATATTTTCTGCACAATCTGGCATTTCTCTGAATATGACTGGGACAAAAAGTGGTCTTTTTCAACAATCTGGCTTGTTTTGTTTGTATCAAGGGAATAACACTGAAACACTGAGAACACAAAGACAATAATTGACTAATTGATCCAACTTGTCAAGGATCCAGCCCGCCTCTTCTCCATGACTATCCAATCAATCCAGGCTCTCGTCCGAAATGGCATGTCCCATAACAAATTACAGCTAATGAAATAACCATCAGAATGTCATTACATTGGCAGGCCCTCAGCATTATTACCCAGCATGGCGTGTGTGTGAGAGAGAGGTTATGAGAGTGTTCATAAACAGGCCTGGTCATGCTGTTATTATCCCGCATGCTATTTAACACCTGAGTCGCTCTGTGTAATTGACAGGCCTGATGAAGGCTCTCTCTGGTCGATCGGGATATGAAAATGGTGATTGTGATTGTGATGTATTATTGGTTTAAAATGCTGTACATATTTCACATTTTCAAGGCAGAATTTGTTGTTAAAACTTGGATCCTTGTCTCCTGGAACTTACACTCACTTAGCTCGTTCCCATTTGTTTGCACCGCAAATCTCATTTAGCTCCGTCGTGTTTCATGTACTGCCGATGTCCCTCCGACAAGAGACCGCCGTGGCAGCCCGCGCTCTCCACGTGAGTCCAGTCATTCTTCTTCCGTTCCGAAGCCAAATCCATTGCTTTTTCTCCCATTGCCTTCCTCTTCCATCTCCTCCTCCACCATCTCTCCTACCATTCCAGAGCTGACGGCAGATGGTGTTTTAATAAAGTCCAGTAGGAATAGGACTGTGAGTAAACAATGCAGCACATGCCAACTCAGTAATTGCTGGGCACTATTACAACCCCTGTGTCTGGCAAGGGAGGGAAGGATGAGAGGATGCAAAAAGAGGATGAGGACAAATCAGGAATGAGAAAATAAGAGGACGAGGGAAAACCAGAAAAGGAAAAAAGCAAGAGATGGAGGGGAAAGAAGGGGCTATGGAAGGGGCGGGCAGCATACACACCTAGCAGCTGGAGCCAGAAAAGCACAGCTGGTGAAGGTGCAGGGAGGCCACAGGGAGGGGGGGCTGGTGGAGGCTGTGCTGGGCTGGTGGAGGCCAGCGGCTGCAGTCCTGGGCCTTCAGCCTCCAGGCTGTGGGCTCCCAGCCCAGTCTCTGAATCCCAGGCCCTGCTCTGCGGTCTCCACTGCTGACACAGGGCCAATGCAGTCCCCTGTCCAACCCCCAGTCAATGGTCAGACACATTCTGGAGGAGTGAACTCAAGCGAGACCAAAGTTAAAGCTCCCGTTCCATGCAGCTCTAATGTCTGTCCTTGCTGTAGACCAGAATTTAATATGAAAATGATGACTGCAATAATACCTTAAATGGTACGCTCAGACTTCATCAGCTAGATGGCTTTACACTGATATATTATAGTCTTTTTATTCATTTAATTTACCCTAAACCTTCAAAAGCAACCTACTAACAGCTGTAGATCCAATGCACTCCTATATCCTCAACCTAAATAAAAGGTAGTATGTTGCATAAACACAAAATCCTTCCACATGCCCGACTTGCTATTTGATCCCTCTTCATCGAGCCTTCATCACATACGAAAAAGGTCCTTACAAGTCTGCAGAGAGTTTTCCCATGATGCTCTATTATGCTTATCGCCTCCAGCGGTGTCAATCAGAAACCATCTCTCCACAAGTCTGACAACTCGGCTACCTTACGTCACACACCTGTTTGGCTCAGGTATTCCAAAAGAAAAGTATGTGAAGCGATAGATTACCAAGAAGCAAACGCATGGCACCTCAAACAAAACCCTTAAATTAATCTTAAAGTTGGCATGTTTCACTTATACCCAAGGGACTTTAACAAGAGTCAGCCTCCCCCGAACAGAAAAGGTAGAACAAGGTAATAAAACAATAATATTTCACTTTTGCATGCGTAAAACTTGATGAAACACCTCCCACAGCTATATAGTTAGTGGTCTCATCAAAGACAATTAAGGGAAATTACTTTTTTTTTTTAAAGCTGAGGTTAAATGACCAGTCTCCTTAACCTTGAAGTTCACCGTCCGCATGAATATTGAATGATTCTTAACCTTCTGTTCTAATGCTAATTGAAGCGGAGGGGGGATATTACATATTTGTAATTAGGGGCTGTTGGATAGGGCTTAAGCTCTGAGCCTCATTAGCTTAATCATGAGGACTCTATCAATTATGCAGGTGGAGGTATGGTGGTGATTTCAGAAACATTCTGCTCTGTTAGAAAACTTTTCCCCCCCTGGAATCATTACATTGACGAATACCTCTTGGACCTTGTCATTAATTCGAATCCCATTGAGGGCACATTTGATCCTGCGCATACGAATATATATATAATAAGAGATTGTGTTTGCAGCATCTTCCAATAAATCGTCCGCGTTATATGAAGCTAATCCATATGGAAGCTAACACAAACACAATGCCCGAGGACATCACCCAAATACAACTTCAAACGGCTTCTTGACAGGTAACTGATGAGCACAAACAAGACTTCGTGTCGAAACACAACTTCTCCCTTACGACATCTTGAACTTATGTCCAACCAAGTCTTCTCACATACTTTCAGGCCTTGAACAATTTGCCTTTTACCCCTGAAGGCAGAGACACAGAAAGAGTGAAAGACAGAACTCGGCAGCTCAGAGAGAGTGAAATATGAGCTAACGCTCGCTAGCTCCTGCAACAAGATGTCTTCAACGTAAGGACTCTCCCAACGGACCTGCCATATTTGTTTGAGTGATACAGCACTCCTATCCTGCACTCCAAACTTCTGTCAAGCTTTACCTCCGACATCTTCCTTACCTCCAGTTTGCCAGCAGGTTTGGGTTCAGACCATTAATCTTGAGCAAGAAAGCGGGAGAGGAGATGGAGGAAGGGAATTCGCGGGAGGTTGGAGAGGTTGGAAATTGGGTCAGAGGACTCGGACCGAAGCGAAGGCAGCTGCCCCTTCAGCACCTCGTGTTTCTCCAGAACCCTCCACATCGCCCTCGCCTCCTCTATGAGGGGTGGAGGTGACAGTTGGTGAGGGACCTTGGAGAGATCTGCAGTTTGGCTCTGGCTTTACTGTACCAGCCAGGGCCTGCATGCAAAAATGTTTCCAAGAATAGGAACGCTGCTTCGGAGAGCTTTCTTTCGGCAAGAGACGTGAACTCAAGAGGTTGAAATGGTCTCAGTTGTACACTGCTATTCTAAGATACTGTATGTCATGCTTACTTACTGACATTCTTGGGCCTTCTTATTCCCAAATGACACAGAGGAAAAAATGCTGTATTTCCACTTGC